TGGCGGTGATTTCGGGAAATTCGTCACTTGTGCATCGCTGACTCCGAGGTTTTACTCACCAAATTGCTTGTATATGATGAGTTAAAAGTGAATTCTACAGCAAATAACTCACTACTCGACTGGATCTCAATCTTCTGTATGTTGTATTAGTCTGTAAAAGCAAGAGATGCGCTAGAAAAGTAGAGGGTAGTAGGGTTTCGTGATTGTAGATGAAATTAGATAAGCATAGATTATGAGAGATAATAGTTCTAAGTGTAAATATACATGTGTGTGTGTGTATTTAGGAAAATGAAATGAATGCGGTACAGTAATAATTTATCACAATATGAGTTAGTAAAATTTGCATATGAGTTTTGATTGCTTGAGGTGTAGCGAATTTGGTAATTTCTTGATTTAAAGCCTACCAATGCAATCATAGAGGGTGTACAGGTTTTTTTAAAGTTGCATGGCTAGGGATATTTTATTTGTTGAAATCGCCATCGCTTCTTCTATTTGCAGGATTCAGAGTCTAGCTACTTCCAACACGTCGGTAGGATCATGATAAATGATGGAGAATGACTCATCTATACTGACCTAATGTTTCGTGTGAATTAGGCGGACTAGTGAACAGTGACTTATAACACCTTTGTTTAACCGTAGTGGAAGGTGCTCACAACGTCGGATAATAAAAAGAACTATGTAACTGATACACTCAGAGTTATTTTTATTATTTTTAATCTATTATAGATATAACCTGTAGGGGGTGAGGAGGAAATTACCGAAAATAATATTCAGTGTTTGTATTCTTATTTACGAAATCGGCAGTTGCATCGGTTCTTTTACTTCATAAATCATAGAGTACAACATTATTTCACAGAGTGTAATAAGCGGACTGTTTAAATCAGGGAGCCACTACATTGTAGATTATCTGTTTCACTTATTTTTACAGGTTAAATCTAATGTTAATATATGTGTCTAAAACTTGGGCACTGTGGTAGTAAGTAATTCCATATTGGTTTGTTTATTAGATGTATCACACAGTGATGAAACAGTATTATTGTTTACTGGATGACACAGTTTCGAACACAATTCATTATTGTTCATAATCATTTCATCAATTATAATCACACGACTTTGAAACTTGAGTTTTATAGTTTTCTTTGTTCTCTCCTATTTGTCGTCGCAGGGGTAGTAGAACTACTAGCAAAATTTAGATTGTTTGACCCGAATAAGATAAAAAATCTAGAGAATAGTTCAGCTATACCACTCACTACATGCAATTACACACAACCATACAATAGGATGGATGGGATAAGATGACAGTTTTAAAATCTAATGTAACACGGGTGGAGGGAGAGACTGATGGCAACGGAAGCCTTGTTTATCGAATCAACCGCTAACACGTAAAATAGGAATGATTCAACACCTGTGCACCCAGATAGGATAGAACAAAGAAAACTATAAAACTCAAGTTTCGAAGTCGTGTTTACAGTTTACAGTTTACAATTTATTTAGGATAGTAGGCTATATGCCTGTGTTAATCCTTTCGATTTGTTACACACAGGAGGTCCAATCTCGCCTTGAATGAATCAACGGATGGCGCTGATACGACGTGTTCCGGTAAGGAGTTCCAATGGTTCACAATCCGATGCGAAAAACGGATCTCCAAACGCAGACGATTCGACCGTGGTTTTTGAACCTTGAGGTGATGTCCTCGCAATTGGTTGGTGCTAAGAAAAATACATGTTTAGGTCACCCTAAGTCGTCTGTATGACAGTGGAAATAAACCCAGTCGACTTAACCTCTCTTCATATGAGAGGGTTGAGAAACCCTTTATTAGCTTAGTTCCCACTCTTTGCACCCTTTCTAATAAGTCTATTTCGATATTATAATTGATGGAATGATTATGAACAATAAATTTTGTTCGAAACTGTGTCATCCAGTAAACAGTAATACTGTTTCACCACTGTGTGATACATGTATTAAACAAAATTATATGGAATAAATCTAATGTTTTTAGATTTCCATGAAGACGATTCAGATATGTATCTTCTTGACACTGAAAATACCTCCTGTTGAATAGAATTCTACCTGTAAATGCTACTGATAGATTGGATACAACTCACGCCCATCAAACAATGCCTACTATTCAGATCAAAGTGATACAAACACCCTGAAGGGTGGTTTCGCCCATTTTAAGCCGAGTTCATCAACTGTATGTATCCAGTCTGACACAGTTTAAACAGCTGAATCAGTTCAAACCACCCTAATTCTAGGCTAACCAGTAAAATTTCACCTCGAACTATGTAGATTATTGTTATTGTATTATTGTTCCCTTGGTTTCCTAGTGGAACATATGGCTTCAACTGCACGTCTCCACTTGATTCTGTCTTCTGCTGTACTTTTCACCTGCATCCATGTTAATCCATACTGTTTCAGCTCCTCTTCACACGATCTCCTCCATGTCACTCTTGGACGTCCCACTCGCCGCTTCCCTTTCGGGTTCCACTCGAGAGCCTGACGCGCGATGTCACCCAGCGGCCTCCTCAGCGAGTGTCCAATCCATCTCTATTTTCTCCTGCATGTTTGTTGAGCGATTGGTTCTTGATTTGTTTGTTCCCATAGTTTCTTGTTGGTTGCTGTTCTTTCCTCCCATCTGATCTTCAGTATAGAGCGAAGACAGTTGTTGATAAAGGTCTGCAACAGGCTGTTGGAAATATTCTTTGTGACCCGCCGCCAAGTTTCTGATCCGTATAGAAGAACTGACTTGACGTTTGTATTGAAGATTCGAATTTTGTTGTTGATGCTGAGTGACGAAGATTTCCAGATTGGTTTCAGGTTGATGAATGTGTTTCTCGCCTTCCCGATTCTCGATTTGACATCTTCGTCCGTTCCTCCTGCAGTTGAGACAATGCTCCTTAGATAAGTGAATGAATTAACCTCTTTCAAATCCCTCCCGTTGATGATGATTGGCGCTGGATGTTGCTGCTGTTGTTGTTGTTGTTGTTGGTTGGTTATTTTCATAACCTCCGTCTTGTCTATGTTCACCTGGATTCCTGTCTTTGCTGCTTCTTCGACCAGTTTGTCGGTTTTCGCTTGTAAGTCTTCGATTTTGTGTGACATCAAACATAAATCATCTGCGAAATCCAGGTCTTCTAGGTTCTTCATGTTGGTCCAGGATATCCCTGTCTTCTCGTTTCCCACTGTCTGACGCATAATCCAGTCCACCACAATTAGGAATATCATTGGTGATAATAAGCACCCTTGTCTGACTCCTGTGTAGATTACAAATTGTGAATTTTTAATTGGTGAATTTCGAATTTCATTCACATATATTTCATTATCTAGTCAGTTAGATAGATGTTAGTGGTAAAGAATTTGAAGGCAACTGGTTCTATGCAATTTCTTTGTTGGTCGTAAGGAATTCTGAGCTAAATTATAAATACAAAATTATAAGTACACTTCTATTTAGCCGAAATAAAAAGGAAGATATCTTAATGTATTATCCGAACATATATATACCTGGGTAGTAATTGGTTAGATCATATGCAAGAGCGTGTGTGTATGTCGGTGGTTCGTCAGTAGGAATACTCGCCAACCATGCACATGGCCCGCGATTTGATACTCGACCGACGGACTCCTAAACCTCGCTAAGCTGGAAGTAAGGCCAGTAAAAAGGGAAAGTTGGACGTGAAGCTAGCAGCCCCACCTCATCAAAAATGCCAGTGCTACTGAAACCTTAAAGCTCTAGCCTAAAGCCGTATGTTCTACTCAGAAGCGAAAGGAACAAAATAGAAGAAAAATGCAAAAGCAACAAGTGGGTTAAGTTTCTAACAGAAATTCAGTCTGTTCCAAACAAAGCACTAGACGTAGTGACTACCTACTGCCCAATCCAAGTGTTCAATACAGCCCTACAGGAGGTCAATCGCGATGCCGAATACCTCAGTGGTAATGTCCTTCTGTCTGTAGAACTTGGTAGCACGGGTTCGAATCTCAGAAGGGACGTGAATTCCTTCAAGATTCCAGATATGTCTTGCTGATTGGTGAATACCAACAAGCACGAGACCTAGGTCCACGGCTTCCTGCCGACTGCCTCCAACATTCTAGAGTGTACTGTGATGGCCACCCACCTAGCACCGTGGCCACATTGCAAACTTGACTGATAGAATTCAGTCTGCATCAAACTAAGGACTAGAGGCGTGACATTAATACTACTTAGTGTCCAATCCACGTTTGACTAAATATGTTTAGGCACTCAAATAAGCAGCGTGACATAAACATTAAAAGACGTAGATGCCATTTAGTAGGATCATTTTATGACAATAAGTTGAAGGATAATCTAAGGCATACGGTATCCAAAACGTCAACAATTGAAAAAAGTATTCATAATGCTAGATCTTGGTTACTATTTCTAGGACTTTCAATGTCATCTTATAATAATATCTAAGTTTAGCTAAATCCCTCCCCCTTTATCTTCACTTTACAGTTTTCCTAAAGAGGTGTTCTAAGGATCATACATCAATCAATACTTTAAATCTCTCTCTCATTTTTTCTGAAGTAAATAACCAAATCAAAACTGTTTGAATTGTCAAGAAAAAAAATCCAGAGAAATAGGTTGCTATGCCAACTGATCTTTTTTTGAATAGAAGAGAGAGTACTTGTGACAAAAATTTATTTCCTTTGTACTTGATCTAGTAGTCAGATTATTTTATGTGAGAGAGAAATCATATTTATTTGTAGTAACAAAAAAAATTATTTGACAATCTCTATTGTTTTCCCTCATTATTAGTTCAGATTGATTAACTAAAATAGTGAAATACGTTTGTGTGACTGAAATGCTTAATTGAAGTTATTCAATGGTTACATTGTATAGCAATTTGTTGAGCTGTAATTGGTCGCTTTCTGACGATATCAATCAACCAATCAGAAAATTGATGCACTAGAATTTGTGTACAGTTAATTGGTCAATTTCGCCACTGATATAAAATATGTGTTAAAATGCTGATTAAAGATCTGGCTTGCGTTTAGGTACTTTTTTTGAGTGAACAGTTTAAGAATAGACAGAAGAAAAAAATACTATGGCAGCATCTACAAAACCGGATCTCGATCGCCTAGGCTACTTTAGTGAATTATCCTATCATACAATTGGAGATCCTTATGTGGATTTAGGGAAATTTGTATTTAATCAAAGCTCTGGAAGAGGGAAACAAATGTATGGTGTTTATACAAAAACAAAATGTGGTCTAAACGATGGTTATTTTGGTGTTTACAATCGACCATTTGTTGGTGAAGCATATACAGATATGACAAAAGTGAAGCATCAAGAACGTTTAAAAGAAAAGACGAAAGAACGTCCCACAGTATTTCTTCCACCCTCAGGTACTAAATCGCTTATTGGATCTGGAAACTATTGGGGCACATTTTCAAATTCAATTCCACACTTCAGTAATGAATCGATCCCGTCAGCGAAACATTCAAGTGAAAAGAATTTTTATACTTCACCATCTAAGAAAGGATCAGGAGCGAGTTATCCTAATTTAACCATTGGAAAGTTTCCTGCTTATATGTCTGAACCGTATTTGGATCGTGTTGGAAAAGCCAGTGATACAGAAAGTGAAAAGCGGTTGACAATGGGTCGTAGAAGTTTCATTCTATCTGGGAATATTGATTATTTCGGACCGGATCCATATAAACAACAGGGTTTTGATAAATTGCCGAAGATTATGCCCGTGCAATCGAAAAGTATCACTGTTCCCTTTCGACCATCGAATCCAGGGAAACAACCAGGTGGTTACAAAGCAGGAACTTTTAATCCATTCCCTACTTATATATCGGAACCTTATGTGGATCCATATAAACGTTTACCAGCGAAACGGGAATCGAAAGTGTTCCTTCCATCATCAGGATTTAAATCGGCTAGATTTGAATCAATTTTGACAAAAAATGTGTACAAGGTTATGAATTCATCGAATTATGATCTTGTGAAATCTGTTACCTATTTTTGAAATATATATTTTGCAAGTAAGGAGAAATAAAGTAATATAATTGTCTTAATTGTGCTATTGTTCATGTGAAATAACTTACCAGTGTTACTTCCAACAGTTTAATGGACATTAAAATATACACAGATTTCAAAGATTCTCCTTTATATACATCTTTTGCTTCTGAAAATTACATATAGTATAGTAATAAGTGATGACATTGAACCTGCAAGGTAGGCATTGGTGGGTTATATCTCATAATTACCAATTATTATTATTATTGCTATTATTATTATAATATTATTACTCCCTTGGGTTCCGAGTGGAAAATAGGGCTTCAACAGCACATCGACACTTTGTCCTATCTTCTGTTGTCCTCTTTCACTGTTCCTACGATTGCCCATAGTCTCTGATCTCCTCCTCACACGACCTCCTCCATGTCACCCTCGTAGTGACGACTCACTCGTCGCTTCCTATTCGCATTCCACTAAATCTAGGGTGTGGTCTCAGCGTGTGCCTGATCCATCTCCATTTCCTCCTACTTACTTGCTGAGCGATAGGTTCTTGTTTGGTTTGTTGCCAGAGCTTCTTATTTGCTAATTCTTTCCGGCCGGCCGTTTTATCTTCAATTTAGAGCGAAGACAGTTGTTGTTGTTGTTAAAAGTCTGCAACTTGTTGGAAATGCTTTTCGTAATGCGCTGGTCACATTTCTGACTCATTTAGAAGAGGTGACTGATTTCACATTTGTCTTGAAAGTCCGAATCTTTTGGTTTATGTTAAGTGCAGCAGATTTTTAAACGGATTTCACGTTGATGAAGGCGTGTCATGTCTTTCCGATTCTGCTTTTGACATCCTTCTCCATGTTGCCCGCTTGTAGTTGAAACGATGCTACCTAGATAAGTGGAAGCAGTAACCTCTTTCAAATTCCTTCCGTTGATAGTGATTGGTGGTGCTGGCTGTTATTGCTGTTGGTTGGCTGGTTGGTTATTTTCATCACCTCTATGTTCTTTAAGTTCACCTGGAGTCCTGCCTTCGCTGCCAGCTTCTTCACCCAGTTTGTTGGTTTTCACCTGCAAGTCTTCAAGTTTGCATGACATTAAACAGAAGTCATCTGCAAAATCCATATCTTCTAGAGACTTCTTATCGGTTCAGCGTATTCCTGTCTTCTCACTCCCCATAGTCTGACTCAAAATCTAGTCCACCACAATTAGGAATATCATGAGTGATGATAGTAGGCAGCCTTGTCTTACTCCTCTATGCACTTCGATAACCTCGCTGAGTTTTCCATTGTGGATCACCTGACATGTAGCATTATCATATAGCCAGCTGTTGAATGAAGTTCATAAGGATTTTGGGGCACTGCACTCAGTAGTGTGGAAGTAGTTTCCAAATTACGTCTCGGTCAACACTGTCTGTCGAAGGTGTTTTCGACGACGATGCGTAGAGTTGCAATTTGATCAGTATATGATGGTACTGAAATAGAAACCAAATCGGAAATTAAATATCCTAGCGTCATTCTATCTGCTGATCTTTCCTGGTCGTCTCACATCTTGATGATTTCTAAGAAAATATTCCGTCTTACCTTCTACATCAAGAAGTTAAGACATTCTGGATTAACCCAATCCTTACTCCTACGATTCGTTAACTCTTGCATTCTGCCTATTATTCTCTATTGTTCCCCCTTAGTTTTTCCCGGGTTACTGAAGAAAGACTATAACATATTACGCAGGATGTTAAAGGTTGTCAGCAGGGTAAGCAAAGTGCCACTTAACCAGCTTGTTAATATTCTGGTTGACAGGCACTTCGACTCATGTGAAAAATGGGCCAAATCCATTTTATCTAACTCACACCACCCTCTTCACTCACAACTCTCCCCTTGCATCTCATCAAACAAAACCAGAAGCCTATATAGAAAACTATATGCTCGCACCAGCAAGTACAAAAACTCAACCATACCCTACCTAGCTCGTGTTCTGTGCGATAAAGAAAGCATTAGGCGTGATACCTATAATTTATTAAATAGTCAGTAGAACAACTGGATCTCATCTTTCCAACTCATATCATTTATAGGTACAACGTTTTCTTTCTTTCTTTTCCTTTTCTCTATCTTTTTTCTGTTATATGCTGCTTTGTTTCTTTCTTCCTTACAAACTTTATTAAAACATTCTGCTTCGTTCTTTCACACTCTGCATATCTCGACCTTTTGTTACCGCTTACGCCAGTAAGTATGCTAGTATCTACTTTTATAACACCTTAAAAAACGCTTCAATTTTGGCTTTGCTACCGACATGCCAATATGTTGTTGTCAAAATTAACTGAGATTACGCTTAATCTATGTAGAATTTTATGTATTGTTAATGTACTAAGTGGGTGCAATACTGTAGTGAAATGCTGAGGATTCCATTCTGTATCACAATTACTGTTTTGGAATAGAGCAAATTATTATTATTATTTGCCTTTCCTGAATCTAGCTTGTCTTGGGCGGGCGGAGTTCTGCATCCATTGCATCCTTTATTCTCTCCAGGATGATGCGACTTAGTATTTAACTTGGCGTGGACAAGAGCATGATGATTATTACCTGGGCGTCTAGTTATTATTCGTGCTCAGTACTATAATTAATTTCTTTAGAGATTTTAACAAGTGAGTAAACTAGTAATAAGAAGACCTTAAGGTACGGGTGTCATTTAGAGAACCAGTGAAAAACAGGGAGCACTGGACAGCGGTTTCATTCTTGTTTGGAACTCTTCAGCATATCTCATCCAAAAAACAATGAATTCTAACTTCTGTTGATTAGCAATATAGTTTCATTACTTCTTAATGCTATCGATGAGTAATTCCATATTAGTTTGTTTACTAGATATATCACAGTGAGTGAAACAGTATTACTGTTTACTGGATGACACAGTTTCGAACACAATTCATTATTGTTCATAATCATTCCATCAATTATAATCACACGACTTAGAAACTTGAGTTTTATAGTTTTCTTTCTTCTCTCCTATTTGTCGTCACAGGGGTAGTAGAATTTTCCAGATATATCATTCCTATTACACGTGTTTGCAGTTGATTCGATAAACAAGGCTTCTGTTGCTATCTCCCCCTACACCCTGTGACATTAGATTTTAAAACTGTCATCTTATCCCATCCATCCTATTGTATGGTTGTGTGCAATTGCATGTAGTGCTATAGCTGGACTATTCTCTAGATTTCTTATCTTATGTGGGTCAACTAATCTAGATATTACTAGGTTTTTATGCTCGGCTAGTCTGACTGCCGCTGTTCTACTACTTTGACTTATATACTTGACCTGACAACCATCGCAGATAGGGTATTAGATTAATTAAATTGTTTTGTTTTAAAGGCTCCACAGGAGTGATCCTTTAACCGATAAAGCTCGTTTCTAATTGAGTTTGTGGGTTTGAATGCCAGTCACTTTTATTCCTGTCTGTATTGTTAGGAATTCTGCGTGAGGTTTCCGAGGTTCCTTCCTTGTATGGAATTACTACTGATGATTTAGATTCCTTATTGTTGGTGTTGTCTTGAGCATGTTTGACATGCATGTCGTCATTAATGTTACTATTATTATTATCATTGTAATTATCATTATTATTACCGTTACTACCATTATCACTATAAATACTATCATTATTTTTACTTTTACATTTCCCTGCATAATTTCTGACTAATTTATCAGGGTAATTATTAAGTTTCAAAGCTTCTCTTATATGTCTCACTTTCTGTCTTAGATTTTCCTTGGTACACTAGTGTTTAACTTCCCATCTTCTTTCTTTTTTACGCTGCAATCTAACATTGGAAGCTCCCCTTCCTGACTTTCCAATTCATAAGTGAATTGAATTGCCTCCACCTCTGAGTTGATTTGTTCGAAAAATCTATTTATATCCTGTGTCCTTAGTACAGTGAATGTGTCATCTGCATACCTCCACCATACTTTTCAATCGCTATGTTTTCCCATCTATCCATGAATATATCTGCTACAACCGCGGATATTGGTGATCCCATGGCATCTTCCTCAGTTGTTTTGTATGTTTTCCCTTGGAATTTAAATACTGTGGAAGTCAGGCACAGGTGCACCCCCAGCATTATGTCCTCAAGTTGCAATTTCGTCCTAAGTTCGAGTTCCTGGTCAGAATTGAGTTCGTTTCTGATTGCCTCTATAGCCATATATATATTAGTATACGTGTATATACAGTGACAATGTAAAAACTAACCATTTTTTCTTCATTATCTAATTTTAAATTATCTGATCTATGTTTTAGTTCATAAGAATTTGTTAGTCTAGATTTCGAGTGGTTTTTAAGGGGATTTAATACCATGGCTAAATATTTAGATAATTCATAAGTAGGTGAATTTCTTAAATCAACTATAGGTCTAATAGGGTATCCTGACTTATGAACTTTAACAACACCATACATCCTACTGGGGTTATTAGTTTTGGGTATTAAATTAAACCACTATCGATGAGTATTTTTCTTCATACTTGACATGATGAACCTGACCATTCACGAATTCTCTTTAGAACTCAAAGAAGTACACCTGATGGTCAATCCCAAATCAGTATTGTGTTGTTGTAAAAATTTCACTGATTTCTCACTGAACTTCATCTCAAACTAGGAGCACTACAATACTTTCATGTTTCCAATGGTCTCCTAGCTGATATCAGTTTGGGTGGAATCTGTTCTGAGCCTAATCAAATCCTTACAACTTACCACTTGAAAATATTAGTAGATATACTGACTGACAGTTTTGTAGCCTATGGGATCTGCGACTACGATGACTTCAGCAATCAGTGCCTTGTAACTTTTATTTATACAGGTTTCGGCTAAATGTTCAAAACTCTCCTCTGCGTAATTCTTTTGAACCTTCATGTGAAATTAAAAGTCTAGAGAATGAATGATATTCAAGTAGTTGATTTCCAGGGGTTTGATTGCTTAAAAGTTCGACTATGCACTGACATCGATTAGAGAGCCATTAGAAAACCTAGGAGTACTGGGAAGCCTGTTTAGGACTCTTCACTAGTACTTACCCAACGTTAGGGTTTGAACTCAAGACCTTCTGGTTACAAGGCAAGCTGTAAAGAATGAAATTATTCCACAAACTGTCAAGT